CGGATAAAATGATGCTTGATTTCTATATACTTTTCCCTAGAGTGATGCACATAATATTTTGACAAACATATAGCACTAGTATTATCATAGAATATAGGAGTAGAGGTAAGAGATAATTTATAATCGAGAAGTTGATGCATAATCCAAAGAACTTGTGTACAACAACTTCCAACAACTAAATATTCTGCTTCAGTAGTTGACAAGGCAACACAATTTTGTTTCTTGTTATGCTAGGAAATTAGTGCATTTCCCAATAATTGGCATATGCCACTAGTACTTTTCCTGTCAATCCTATCACCTGCAAAATCTGCATCTGAAAAACCTTTTAAAACAAAATTGTTAGAGTGAGTATACCATAGTCCTAATTCAATAGTCCCAATAGGATATCTAATAATGCGTTTAACTGCAGTAAGATGGGATTCTTTTGAATCCGACTAAAACCTTGCAAATTTACAAACACTGAACATTATATCTGGTCGACTAGCAGTGAGATATAATAAAGATCCAATCATTCCTCTATAGATTGTTTTATCCATACTTTTTTCATTATTTTCTTCTTCAAGCGTAGTTGTTGGACTCATTGGAGTTCCAATGGACTTTGCATTCTCCATACCAAACTTCTTTATAAGTTCCGTGGTGTACTTGGTTTGGTTGATAAAAATCCCTTTGGGAGATTGTTCGATTTACAGTTCAAGAAAGAAAGTTAACTCTCCCATCATGCTTATTTCGAATTCTCCTTTCATAATGTGAGCGAATTCTTCACATAGTACAGAGTTAAGGCTTCCAAAAATAATATCGTCAACATAAATTTGAGTAATAAGATTACCTAAATTTGAGTGCTTAATGAACAGGGTTGGGTCGATATTACCTCGTTTGAAACCTTGATTTAGAAGGAAAGAACTTAATCTTTCATACCAGTCTCTGGGGCTTGCTTGAGTCCGTATAAAGCTTTAGACAACTTGAATACATGATTTGGGAAGTTGTTACTTACAAAGCCAGGAGGTTGTTTCACGTATACTTCTTCAGAGATGTATCCGTTTAGGAAGACACTTTTTACATCCATTTGAAATAGTTTGAATCCTTTATGAGCAGCAAAAGTAAGTAGTATTCGAATAGACTCTAATCTTGCTATAAGTGCAAATGTTTCATCGTAGTCGATTCCCACTTGCTGAGAGTAACCTTGAGCAACTATTCATGCTTATTACGTACCACTTGACCAGATTTATTCAACTTATTTCTGAAGACCCATTTAGTTCCTACAATGGAAGCATTTGATGGTTTTGGAACCAAATACCACACTTTATTTCTTTCAAATTGATCAAGTTCATCTTTCATAACTTTGATCCAGTAGTTATCTTTATGGGCTTCTTCCACATTCTTTGGCTCAAGTTGTGATATTAAGGCCATGTGAGAGTTGAGCTTCTGAGATCTTCTGGTACTGATACCCTCCTATGGATTTCTAATAATGAATTTGTGGGGATATCCAGGTTCACTTTTTCATTCATTTGGAATGTTTGTGATTGGCTCTTTTTCCACAGTGGTTGACTGTTCAGTAGAAGAAGATTCCTGGATTTCAATGTGCTCCTCAGTTGACTGATTCTGCTTACTGGTCGACTCATCGTGACTATCTTTTCCCGCAATAATAGACTTTGGGACAATAGAGATTTCCTCATCTTCAGGAAGTTTTTTCGTTCCTTGAGCAAGGGTTAGTATCCACAAAAACAACATGAATTAATTCTTCAATGCATAAAGTTCTTTTATTGTAAACTCTATGTGCTCTACTTGAGGGAGAATATCCACGAAATATACCTTCGTTGCTTTTTGGATCAAACTTACCCAAGTTATTTTTTCCATTATTGTGGATGAAGCATTTGTATCCAAATGGGTGAAAGTAACTGATGTTGGATTTCTTACCATTCCATAGCTCATATGGAGTCTTTTTAAGAATGGGTCGAATCAGACATTTGTTAATAATATGACATGTTGTGCTCACAGCTTCTGCCCAGAAGTGGTGAGGTAGAGAGTTTTCCACAATCATGGTTCTTGCCATGTCCTGCAAAATTCTGTTTTTACGTTCTACCACTCCATTTTGTTGAGGTAATCTTGGCGAAGAGAAGTTGTGAGATATTCCTTGATCGTTGCAGAAGTTTTCAAATGCTCTGCTTTCAAACTCTCGTCCATGGTCACTTCTGATAGTGGTAATGTAGTATCCCTTTTCACGTTGAACCTTCTTACAGAAGATTTCAAAATTCCTTAGAGTTTCATATTTATAACTAGAAAAAATAACCCAAGTGAAACGAGAAAATCATCTACGATAACAAAAGCATATTTTCTACCACCAATACTAGCAGTTCTAGTTGGACCAAACAAATCCATATGCAAGAGTTGAAGAGGTTTAGTAGTAGAAATAATATTTTTGATTTTGAAAGATGAACGAGTTTGTTTTCCTAATTTACATGCATCACAAATGTGATCTTTTGAAAAATCTAGTTTTGGAAGACTAATGACAAGATCGCATTTAGAAAGTTTTTGAATAGTATGCATGCTAGAATGGCCAAGCTTTCTATGCCATACCCAGTGATCATCAATCATAGATGCTAGACAAATTTAATTACCAAGACTATCTACATTACTGATAGTATAAATATTCTTGTCTCTATTACCAGAAAGAATAACTTTACCTGATTCGTCTTCAATAAACCAACCATATTTTTTAAAACGAACCTCATAGTCATTGTCACATAGTTGAATGATACTGAGAAGATTGTAACCAAGTTCATCAACCAGGTATGCTTCGTCTACATCATATGTTAAGCTGAGAGAAACTCTTCCAACTCCAATTACATTTCCTTTTGATTTGTATCCGAACATAACAGTTCCTCCATCTAATTTAGTGACCGTCTTGAACAATTGTTTGTCACCAGTCATATGTCTGGAACATGCGCTATCAAGATATAATTTTCCTTTTCTATTCTTCTTGCGTTGTTCCTGCAAAAAAATAAAATTACTTATTTTTAGGTACCCAAGCTTGCTTGGGTCCTGAATGGTTAGTATTCTAAGTATTATCTTGACTGGAGGGCTTGGGTCGCCAGACCCATCTCCTGTTATTCTTGAACCTGTAATGGTTAGAAGTATGACCAAGTTTTCCACAGTAAAAATATGAGGGATTACTAGAGTTTTCAGGGGCATTTTCTCCTCTGATTCTAAAACTGCAATGGTTAGAGATGTGCCTATTTTTACCACAATGAGTACATGAAGAAGGATTTCTAGTTCTAGGTGGAGGATTATGAGGAACAAACTGATTTGATCTAACGGAGCTATGACTGGTGGATTTTCGTAATCCATTCAGTTGAAGTTCATTAAGTTCATCTTGAAGCATGTCTTTTTCAATTTCACATACTTCTAACTTCAATGCCCAATCTTTCTTTTCTCTTTGGAATTTTCGAAGTTCATTCATAACTTTCTCAAGATCTACAAGAGCAATGTCAATAAATTCTTGAAGTTCATGATAGTTAGGACATGTAGGATGACGTACCTCACTTGTATCTTCGTCTGCCATGAGACCAAGTTCTCCTACGTTTTCATCGCTATATCCATCGATGGCCATAAATCACATGTTGGTGATTTCTTCATGATCAGATTCTTCTTCATCACTCCAAGCTCCAAAGGATTTCTTCCTTTGAAAGTTTCTGCTGAGTTTCTTCTTCAATCCAGGGCATTCATCTTGAATGTGTCCATGCTTTCCACATTCATAGCATCTTCCATCATTTTTATCATTATCATTATTCATTCTTCCTTTTCTGAAGTTTGATTTACCTTTCCTGTTATTTCTGTTTTTCCTCATCATACTTGTTACAACTTGAGAGAGTATAGCTATGTTTTCATCTTGTTCTCCTCATTCCTCTTCCTCTTCATTTTCTGGTTCAACCATAGTTGCTTTGAATACAACTGTCATCTTCTTTTCTTGTTGAATCTACCTGTCTAAGTGAGTTTTCTCAAAAGTAATTAGATCACCTTTAAGTTCATCATAAGATATTTTGTCAAGATCCTGACATTCCAGAACAATGACTTTGGGTTGCCAAATCGTGGGAAGACTTCTTAGAATTTTTCTGACCTGCTCTCCTCTTTTTATTGGACTACCAAATGACTTTAAATCTCCAAGGATTTTTCTGAACCTGGAGAACATTTCCTCTATTGATTCTCCATTTTTCATTTGAAATAATTCATAGTCTCGAACTAGAAGATAGATCCTTATTCACTTTGTTGGTTCCTTCATATGTGACCTCTAATTTATCCCATATTTTCTTTGCAATTTCACAACTTGATATCTTTTCATATTCTTCTCCACTGATAGCATTGTACAACAGATTTTTTGCTTTAGCATTCACTGTTATGACAGCTGATTGTTCTTCAGTGTAGTCATCTAAGTCAAGTGGATCAGTTGATACACTACTAGAAATACAGACTTTCCCGCGGAAGAATCGATGGGAAATCTGTGTGAAATTTCAATATTCCCACGACATTCCCATGGGAGACGCTCAATGGGAATATGGTTGGTGGGAAAATAGTTTCCCAGAACATTCGTGGGTAATTCCCAGAGAGTTTCCCATTGAGGGCTTCACGAGAACTTGGTGGGGTCACATAGTGTATTTTCCAACGAACATCGTGGGAAAAGTAAAATAATATAATAATTTAATTTTCTTAAGTTTCTCACCGAATCTGTGGGATGTATTAAAAATAATTTAGTTATTTTTTTATTTTACACATGGAAGCAGTGGAAAATATTCTAAACCTGAAAATAAACATATGAACATTCCCACGAAAATCAGTGGAAAATATCAAAATTCTGGAAAAAATATGCACAAAATTCCCACGGAGTCTATGGGAAATCTGAAAAATATTTTCATGGCTAAATTTATTTTTAAAACTACACCACCTGCCAAACAGAAAGTACAACCAATAATACAAGACTAAATATAATTAAGCATTCAAATACCAAATTCAACATACAATCCAATTCATTTTATAAACAACACCTAAAATTCAATCCATTTCATAAACAATATCCAACTGAACAGAAAGTAGAACAAAAACTTAAAAAATCCAACATTCAATATTCAACATATACCATCCAAGACAAACTAATAAAAGAAACTAGTACTTAGTTATCATCAGATGCTGGAGAACGGGGCACAGGAAATGCACCAAATGCTAAGAGGGAGTTTATCTGAGACTTGAGACTTTTAACATCACTAGTGACAAGTATTCCATAGTTATCATCAATCGAGTGATTTTGAGTGAACTCCTCCAAGCTTCGTTTGACATTATCCTGTAAAAACAATACAAATATTATAAAAATAAACTTTATTAAAGAAAATTTATGCCAGTATCTTTATTTCTCAAACTTTAAAGTGAAACACACGTAATGATAAAAAGCTTAGCAGTCTGGCTGGACTTATTATTTTAATATGTTTCAAAAATATCTAATGTATGAAACTCACTCGCATATAGACAATGTATCAGTACTTCTAATAGAAAAAAATTACTACACCATCTGTACTGTAGTGCTAAGACTCTAGTTGAATTAATTTGAAGAGGTATGAGGATATAGCAGCTCGAATCATAATCTAAAGTTGCTAACATAATTCTAAAATTGCTAACCGATTTCAAAGTATATTACTAGTGGTGCATTAGTTATTTCATTTCAACTTTTCCTTTTCAGTTATTCAAATTATATGGGTCAAGTCCTCATTAACATGGTGATAAATGTAATTGTAACCTTCCTGATTAACAGTGCAAACAGGGAAATGGAAAATTTATTACAAAGTGAACATTTCAACAAAACAATCACATTAATTTAAACTTCTGTCACCTTGCATAGCAGAAATCTTTAGTAATCTTACATCATGGGAACTAGTCTATTACATGTGTAGCCATATCACCTCACAATTGAATCTCACACTTGCAGAATTAGTCCATTACATCAGTAAATACTTTCCTATTGAGTATTGCATTCTGTATCTTCTATGAAATCTTAATATTGATAAATTGCTCAGAATCACATACTTCAACAATTTACCCATTGGCAAATAAATTTAACTAACTGGTGGTCAAATCTAGCTAAAGAAAACAAGGTAAAATTGCGAACATACTCAAGGCAACATTAACAGTCACAAATCAGGTAATAAAATTATACACAGCTATCATATAACCATTTGTTTCGATTCAAACAATCAGGAACCACAATCTACGCACACAGATCTTGATTAAAGCATATTTTACATTCACTAATTGATAATTACATGCTTTTGAACAGACTGAATTCCTTGTGTTCTCATGTCAAATTCAAAATCCAGGGAACTTGAACAATGTCCAAACAATACAGACAATTACTTATGAATTCACCTCATATAGATGAAGAAATTGAGGCAGATTTTATAATACTAGAACAATTTCATGACAGTGCACAATTTGAACCAATACCTGGATCGGCAGGAAACAAGGCCAACACAGCTAAATAAAAACTAAAAGAAACAACAGGGTAGGAGTTCAGATCTAGCCTTCGATTATCCTCAAGTTTAGCTCCAAAACAACTCTTAGAGAACCCAGAAATTGAAGATGAGAGGCGTAGAACCAAATAGAATTTCAATTCATAGTGTATCTTTCCTCTTTCTCTATGAAAATTGCTCTAAAACTCAATACCTAAAGGATTTTTTTGTAGCTCTAGATCTCAGACACATTTTGTTGAGTTTTTGATTTTAGAACTTTATTTTCCCTCAATGAACGTGCATGAGTGAGATCTTTTTAGATTATGAAGGAGGGTGAATCTATATTGTGTGTCGATTAGCCTCTATATCCAGATGGGGATTCAATCTGCGTGTGTCCTCCTTGGATCTCCTCCCCTCCGTCTTTTTTTAGAGTGAGTCTGTTAGGGTTAGGGTTAGGGAATTAATGGTCTGGGCTAAAATGTTTGGGCTGGTGCGAGACAAATCGGCTACTTTTGACATGGGCAACTTAGAAATCTTTCTAATTTCTCCATGTTTGTGAAGAAATCCTATAAATACATAGAACCGATCCATATAAAAAAAAAGTAAAAATAGCACGGGTTAGCTAGTTTTCGGACTGATAATTAAAAAATAGCCAGCGTTTGCAAAGTTATTAAAAAATAGTCACTATTTTACTGCAACACGGAGTGGTCCAACATAATATACTCAAAATTGGTGCACATGTGTATGAACTTCAAACATATTATGCTGGAACTCCAACACGCGGAAAGTTCCAGCATAATATACTGAAGATTGGAGCACATGTGTATGGACTTCTAACATATTATGCTGGACCGGTATATTATACTGGAACTCCAGTATATTATGCTGGAATATTTTTTAAATTTTGAACAGTGTCTTCGTTGAGATTTATCTATACATGAAAAATAGCCAAATTTTGATTACTTTTGAAACTGTGGCTATTTTTCAATTACCACTTGTAAATCTGGCTATTTTTAAATTTCTCCAAAAAAAAAAAAAATAGATCTGAAAAATATACCAAACTAACAAGAAAAAATCAACTCAATATTGTCTTTTAACAAATTTATTGTTTCTAAGACGAAACAAATAAAGACTTAGGTTTAATTAGACTATACATGCACAAGAGAACAACAACAATTTTTTCAAATCTAGGGTTTGAAATAGCAGAAAATTCCTAAGTTTCGAAAAATCAAAATCGAAAAAGGAGTGGATGACAGAGAGAGACTTACCTAAAAATGGAGTGAGGTGAAAAATTAGTCGTTGGAGTGGAGAGACAGAGGGAGAAAGCACGAAATAGACTAAGAGAAAACTAAAAGGTTATGTGAACAAGAATAAAACTTTCCTACTACTTTCGTGGGAAAACTTTTTCATAAATCACAAAAATTCAAAATTTTTTGTTCACACAGAATCATTGGGAATATTTGCACAAAAACGTTCCCACGAATAGTTAATGGGAAGCGTTATTGTTTTTTCGTGGAAAAAAATTTCACTTTTCCCATTGAATATCGGTGGGAATTGCCACTAACAATTTTTCCATGGGAAAACGCTATGTTTCTAGTAGTGATACTATGACTTGACCATTTTCATCTTTCTTTGGTGGAATTGGAAGATTTTTCTTTTTGATCACGCGCCAAACTTTAATGTCATATGACATAGTGTATGTTTCCATACGTACTTTCCAGTGAGAAAAGTGTTGGCCATTGAAATACGGGGGTCGTACCTGAGAAGTTGCTTCTTAAAATAGCACTCCAATGACTGTATTTGATCCCATGATATTTTCCTCACTAGCTGTTAAGCAAAGATTATGAGCCTAGTTCTGATACCAATTAAAAGTACAAGAGGGGGAAGTGAATTGTAACCTATTTAAAAATCTTGGTTGACTAAGTGTAAGTTTAGTCGACTAGACTTTGCACAGTGAATAATTTCAGTAGGAATGAACTGAATGAATAGAAAGGTAAAGAAAGCACATCGGGTTTTATACTGGTTCAATACCGGTGTGGTACCTACGTCTAGTTCCCTTGGGTCACAAGAGTTCTCTTAGATCTTTGATAAATATTTACAGTAATGATGGTTTTAGTACGTTCATCATCAACGATGTATAGAAATAGTGATTTTTGTAGTGTTGACACAACTCTCGTTTTGTGTTCTAACTCTTCCTATCTTTTGTGACACTTGTAGACTCAAGAATACAGTGTTTGTACTAAGAAATAGAAAGGCTTAGAAACAGATTATGTATTTGCGTAAATCATCTTCTTGAGTTTTCCAGTCTTCTTATAGTAGAGTTTGAATAGCCGTTACAGATTGATCTTTGATTGAGACACATAATCCTCTAAGAGATTTGACCCAAGGGGTACCTCCAAATCCTGCACATGAGATGGTCTGGATTCGTTTACGTCCTTCCCCTTTCATATCCATATTCCAGGGAGTGATTTGTGGCTTTGATTTGGTTGATCAATCTTTAATATCTTCATATTCTAATTTAGTCCTTGAAGAATGGCCTGATATTCTTTAGCAACTGCACTTGATATGTTTCCTTGTTGAAAGCCTCGATGTCCTTTGATTTAGCCTTGACTTCCTTTAGCGTTTGGACTTGATTTTGTTTCCTTTTTGATGGCTTTGACTTCCTTTCATTTAGCATTGTTCTTATTGCCTTTGATCTCGTTTCCTTTGAAGTAGTGCTAATTCCTAATTTTCTACAACCAAATGATTACAATTAGATTTGAATTATTATCATCATTGAAATTTAGGTGTAACAAGATCGGGCTCCGAACGCGAGGGGTTAAAGATCGACCCCGAGTCTAATTGAACCAGAACACGAGGTCAGAATGTCCATCCTCGAGAACGTTGAGTCCATGATCCTGGAATTGACCCTGACCCCGAATCAGCTCGAGAAAACATAGCCGGTATAACCAACATAAGACCGAAATAACGGAAGGCCAAAATATCCATAACCGGTCGGATATCACGGTGGGAATCTCGGTACGTATCAATAAGGAACTGGCAAATCAGCAAACCAGGAGATTTTTACCTTTTATAGAATTATTCCTAAAGTAGGACTCGCCTATTATATAAATGGGGTCTGATTACTTATGAAACCCATGGTAACACACATCCCAATGAAATATATTGTTATTTTTAGTTCTTATTATTCTCTTGTCATTCTGTTCTGATATCGCTAAAAGCACTTTTGGCTCGAGGGAGACCAACATTCTAAGGCTAAGATTGTTCAACTTATATGGTTTGCATTAACTTTCCCATTGTTTATTTCAATTTCAATCTAATTTATCATTTTGTATCAAGCTAGATCACATATCCTTAAAACTACGTACAAATTTTATTGTTATCCAATTTTGAGGGTAAACAGTTTGGTACCCACCGTGGGGCTAAGGATAACAATGATTATTTGATACAAATCTCCATAATACACACTACAGTCAAACCTCTCTATAACAACCTCATTTGTTCAGAATATTATTGGATGTTATAGTAAAGTGTTGTTATATAGGGATGCTGTTATAGAGAGGTCAAAACATAAAATGTCAAACTCTCAATCAGCACCCCTACATGTTGATAACGAGTCCGGTCATCACGGTGCAAATAACAACGTAGCACCCGGTAACAAATTACCGCCCACTGATCTCATCAAAATTCAAGTCGCAGACCCAATTGATGCTAATTCACATGTGGCTATCCACGCAAACTTGCGAACTAACCCCGAGAATAACGTCCGTGGTGGAGCCCGATCGACAACTCAAAATACATAAAACATTGGAGGGGACGGGATCAGTTTACGAGTGATCTTTGAAATGTTGCAGGTTCAACAGGCGGCGATAGCTTAGTTACAGAACCAAAGCCATGCACCGAGCAGATTTGAACCAAAGCCATGAACCTGTTGCAGAAAGGTCAAATGAACTTGAATCGGGGGCTAACCCCGAGATCATAAAGATGCTTGAAGAGTTGACAAAACGGATGGAATCAGGGGAGAAAAAAATCGAAGCTAATGACAAAAAGGTGAAAACTTACAACCCCAGGGCAGACCAGATCTCAGGAGCACCACAGACATTGAAAGGCCTGGATTCCAAAAAGTTCGTACAAAAACATTTTCCTCCGAGCGCGGCTCCGAAGCCGGTCCCTATGAAATTCCGCATGCCTGTGATTGCTAAGTATAACACAACCACCGACCCAAATGAGCATATGACCTCTTACACATGTGCCATCAAAGGGAACAATTTGGAGGATGATGAGATCGAGTCTGTCCTATTGAAGAAGTTTGGAGAGGCCCTGTCAAAATAGGCTATGATATGGTATCACAACTTACCTCCTAATTCTATTGATTCATTTGCTATGCTTGCGTATTCTTTCGTGAAAGCCCACGCTGGGGCCATCAAGGTCGAATCCAAGAAATCAGACCTTTTCAAAGTAAAACAGAAGGACAATGAGATGCTCAAAGAGTTTGTGTCCTGGTTTCAAATGGAACGAATGGACCTGCCACCTGTCGCTGATGATTGGGTCATTCAGAATTTCACTAAAGGGCTCAATATTCGAAGTGCGGTGGCTTCACAGTAGTTAAAACAAAACCTGGTAGAATATTCGGCCGTTACTTGGGCCGACGTGCATAACCGGTATCAATCAAAGATCACAGTAGAAGATGATCAACTCGGGGGCCCTTCAGGGTCTGTTTATTCCGTCAGAAACTTCGACGGATTCAAGAAAGACATCGATCTTGAACCGAGACCTAACTGGGATCGGTACCAGCCGTATAATGGAGACCGAAGAAGCAACGTGTCTGGGCAGAACTCTATGAGAAACGAAAGGAGAAACGATCGAGGTCAACACAGTCGGGGACTTATGAGTAAAAATAGCTTCGACAGGCCCGTCGGGCCTAAGAAAGCACCGAGGTTATCAGATTACAACTTTAACGTTGATGTTGCCGCTATCGTATCAGCTATCAGATTTATCGAGGATACCAAATGGCCTCGACCATTACAATCTGATCCATCCCATAGAGATCCTAACTAGATGTGTAAATATCACAGCACTCACGGCCACAGAATGGAGGATTGCCGATAATTGAGAGAGGAAGTAGCCCGATTATTCAACAACGGGCATCTTAGAGAATTCCTCAGCGACCGAGAAAAAAATCATTTCAGGAATAGGGATTCTAACAAGTAGGACGAGCAAGAAGAACTTCAATATATCATTAACATGATTATTGGTGGGGTCGATATTCCTCAAGGGCCGATGTTGAAACGCACCAAAGTATCCATCACAAGGGAGAAACAGACTCGAGATTACATACCTGAAGGAACCATGTCTTTCAACGACGAGGACGCGGAAGGAATCGTGCAGCCCCACAATGATGCACTAGTAATATCTGTACTCATAAATAAATTCCGAGTTAAACGTGTGTTAATTGACCTAGGTAGCTCCCCCAATATCATTCTATTGAGGGTCGTGAAGCAACTTAGTC